TCGTTCGGATCAGTCCCATGTTTAAATTTTTCGTTTGGATCAATCCCATATTTAAATTTCTCGTTCGGGTCAGTCCCCTGTTTAAATTTCACGTTCGGGCCAGTCGCATGTTTAAATTATCGTTCGGGCAGTCCCATGTTTAATTTTCTCGTTCGGGCCAATCCTGTGTTTAAATTTTTGTTCGGGCCAGTCCCATGTTTAAATTTCTCGTTCGAGCCAGTCCCATGTTTTAAATTCCCGGTTCGAGTCAGTCCCATGTTTGAATTTTCGTCACGTTTAAATTTCTTGTTCGGGTCAGTCCCGTTTTAAATTTTTCGTGTAGGTCAATCCCATTTGAAAGTTTAAAGGGGTCAGTCCTCATTTCAAAAGCGTCAGTTGGTTCGAGTGGTTTGCAGCCGAATAACGCAGGTAAGTTTTTGGTGTCTACTTCTTTATCTCAAGTTTTTCCAAAACTCAGACAAAGAGGGGCAAACTGTAGACACCAAAATTTTGGCTTTTCTTTTTTATATATATATAGTTGATTTTTGTTTTAAAAAAAGCAAAAAGAAAAAAAGGAAAAAAAGAAAAAACAATAAAAATAGCAAGTGGGAGGCATGCATTGGGACAAGTGTCCCTTTGTGTTTTGGACAACACAACACCTAAGGGATTATGTGTCTAAACACTTGGTGGTTTAATAAATTTTGGGGGAATAAAAAATGGAAAAAAAAAAAGAAAAGAAGGAACAACGGCGAAAGAAGGGAAAAAAAGAAAAAATGCAAGAGAGATGTCTGGGGTGAAAAAAAGAAAACAGAGGAGAAAAACGCAAGGGAGAGAGCTGGAAGAGGCGGCTAGGGTTTTTGGCAAAAGAAAGACAGGGGGAGATAGAGTGACCCGAAGGGCAACGGTAAAAAACTAGAAGAAATTGAGAGCTTGAGAAGAGGCAAGAAAGGCAGCTTTGGATGGTAGGGAAAGTAAAAAAAACAGAGAGGAATGCTGGCGGAAGAACAGAGCAAGGAAGGAGCAAAACGAGAAAAAGCAAAGAAATGGGCTTTGGGCTGTTTCGGGCTAAAACGGATGGAGAGGAAAACAAGACAAGAAAGGCAAAGGCAGTTGGCGGCTAGGAGAAAGGAGTGACGGAAGAAAAGGAAAAGGCAATGAAGGCCAAGAGAGAAAAAAAAAACAGAGGAGGCAACCAGAAAAATAGGGAAAATGGGCGGAGGAAAGAAAAAGGGAGGTCGGCAAAAAGAAAATTGGTGGAGGAAACCAAAGCAAAAGAAAAACAGAGGGCAAGGAAATATGTGACATCGGTGGAGGCGAAGGAGATGAAGGGCACGACAGTAGATTCTGGAAGTACCCAACGGCTTCTAATGCCGGAGTAGCTATCATTGTCACGGCCTTGGCCGGGCTCGCCTTGGCCGCTGCGGTTCTCTACAACACTGGATGAAAGCTCTCAAACGATGTCAGACACCGTCATAGCCACCGTCGCCGCCACTCAAGCAGGAGCACTGTAAGTTGACCCATTTCCTTTGAATTTCAGTTCCTCCCCAAGCTTTCAGAGCATGTTTGCCGAGCTTTTGTTCGTTGCAATCTTATTAATTGCTCATGGTTTTGGGTTGTACATGTTTTTCTGCGTCAATTGGACCGAAGTCCGTTGATTTCTGATAATTTTGGGCGCTAAATTACATCATTTGAGCAGAAATTTACTGAAATTCTTCATGCCCATTTGCTGTTTGATGAAATGCCCGATTGAGATTTTGGCCTGAAGGACGCATTGATTTCTGTATTCGCATACATTCGGCCAGTTCAAACAGAATTGTGAAAAGTTTTGATGTGTTTTCTTTTGGTGCCTTTCATGTTTTTCTTGCTCTTTCTCTGGTATGAATCCGAATTGCATCTTGACATTGTGTAAAAAGGGGCCTGTGTGATTTTCATTTTTTTTAGAATACCAATTGAACTTTCAAGTGTTCTTCATCCGTAAAAAAGAACGAAGATGGCAGCGGGCATTTAGCCCGCTTGGGGAAGATGACTACCTGTTTAAGTTATGATTCTAGTCCTTCAATTGCCCCTGTTGTTGTGATTTAACCCCAAAGTTTTTAGAACTTCATAATTTTGACCCCAAAACTTTTATAAAGGCTTTCAATTGGGTCCCTGCTACAATTTGTAAATTGGTCCTTGAACTTTATCTTTCCTTTTATTTTGGCCCTAAAAGTTCTGGAAATCATGATTTGGCCCTAAAAACTTTCTGATATTTGCGATTTGGTCATTGGCAACTTTAATTTCGCAACTTCATTGCTTGTTTGCTTCAATTAGCCACCATATTTTGTTTAAATTGCATTTAATTCATAATTTTAAGGGCTTTATGACCAATTGAGCTTGTGTTTGTATATTTTCTTTAGTTTTTCAATTAAAACGATGACTTGACCTTTTCTTTGTTTTTGGAGGATAAATAAGTAATTTCACTCCATTAGGGCTCCAACTCCAGGGAGGTACACCATATCCCTTATTTTTTACTCTATTTGACCCTACGTGCCCTATGTGATTTTACGCGTTTAATTGCATGTCTCTTGAATGCTTTTCTTTCATTATTTTTGTTATTTATTTATTTATTCGCTTTATTGACTTTAGTTTTGTATATTCATTTTTAGTTCAATTTTGATCATGTGAAAGGCACTTGAATGCCAAAGTTGTAATAGTTAGGTTATTATTTTATTTATTTCTTTCCCCTTAGATTGTAGTAGGGCCCACCCAATGTAATAGTTAGGGCTTGTTTGCTTTATTTGTTTGATATGTTTTGCATGCTTATGTGTTATGTGTTATCCGCTTTCATAGGGCCGTGTATCTAGATATCATACTTATGTGTTATGTGCTATACGTGATTTATGTATTTACATGCTTTTATTAGGTCTTACATGATTTATTTGATTGTAATAAATGTATGTCGTCACCACATTAGTCCAACGCTAGTTGTGATCCATTTCCCGATACCACACTAGTCCAACGCTAATCGTGGCCCTTTGTTCCGATTTTCCACTAGTCCAACGCTAGTGAGGACTCATAGACATGGGTTAGTCCAACACTAGACCCTTAGGGACCATCCGCACGTTAGATCATGATTGTGTGATAAAATCACTTTATCTCATGCATGTTTTTTCACTTTTTAGGGTTTTACCATGTTGCATGACACTTTCCTTATATGTATAGCTCTTATCCCGTATTTCCCCTTATATGTATATTCCTTACCCCTTTGTATGAAAACATGACATTAGACTTGCATTCCCATTTAAGAATTAGAACTAGGATAGTACATTTGCATGATTAGACTAGGGAAATTACCCCTTAGATATGGGATATGGACGAGTTTGACTTCTCTAGCCTTAACACGCTCGTATTCCCTCTATTAAAGGGAACATTGAAGTCACGAGTATAAGTTCCCCGCACCCATTATGATGCATTCCTTTAGGTCATACACATTTGTATATTATTATTTTCTTTACTTTTTCTTTCTTTCGAGTCTCATGACTTGCATATTAGTGACCTCTTCAAAGAGTCCCTATTGGGCATCACAATTAATGTGATTGTTTCCAATTAAATTTAAAGACATATTTTGACCCTCCGATACCCTCTTAGGTCTAGGGTATGCATTCATATAGTACATCCAAATGTGATAAATTTTAAGGGTAAATAAGAAAATCTTTGACTAAATCGCGCAACTAGCCTTGGTTAGGTTGAAAGGGTATCTCGGATTTTTTTATCCTTGCCTTTTCTTTCTTCAAATATGACTCCCGAACCTTTTCTTTGATTTACGTAGATTTGAAGTCATTTAAAAAGAGTTTTCCTATTTTCTTTCCTTTTCTTTGAAAAATTCATTTTAGGTGACTTGGTACATCTCAATTCAATACAAGTGGCGACTCCAATTTTTATTTAAAAACCCTTTTTAAACTATCATTTCGGGTCAAATTGTCGTATTTTCAAGTCCCATTTAGACCCATTTTTCTTTATTTTTAAAAAACACATTTTGCACTCAAAGATAATCCAAAAAATTCATTGTCTTAAAAACAATTTATTTTTCTTTATTTTCAAAAAATGGGGCGCGACACCGTTTCGTAAGGTAATAGCCTTAACATGCTCTCTTGGATTTATCTCAGTTTTACTAGATAGTTCCCCTTGTCCCCTATTATTTATAGCATTAGCAATTTGCCTAATTTGGACTTCCACATTCCTATACATGCTTGTAAGTTGATCCATTCTCCCCTCAATGCTTTCCATTCTCTTGGATTAATCTCAATTTTACTAGGTAGTTTTTTTGTCCCATATTATTTATAGCATTAGCTATTTTCCCAATTTGAACTTCCACATTCCTATACATGCTTGTAAGTTGATCCATCCTCCCCTTAATGCTTTCTAATCTTTGTGTGATAGCACTAACTAACTTATCCATTCTATCATTTGTCACATTAGCTAGTTTCTCAATTGCTAATTCCCAAGAAGGTTTGGTCTCCTGAGGTGATTGCTTTGGCTGGAAGCCAGGTGGATTTGTTGGCCTTTGTTGATTTCCTTGCTCCTTTCATCCAAAATTAGGATGGTTTTCCCACCCTGCATTGTAGGTACTAGAATATGGGTTGTTTTGGGATTGGCGATTGTAATTGTTGAGGTATTGTACTTGTTCAATACCATCACAAGTAGATTCATCATGATTACCTCCACATAAAGTACAATAAGCAACAACTGTGTTCAAATTAGAAACCGAACTTGAACCAACTTGCCTGTTAAGTATTTTGACCACATTATCCATCTTAACATTCAAGGAAGTCAAACTATCAATTTCAAACATACCTGCGAGTCTCCTCGTGTTACCTCGTTCATTGACCCATTGATAATTATTTGCGGCCATTTCCTCTATTATTTGTTGAGCTTTCTCGGCCAACTTACCCATCAAAACTCCACCAGCTGCTGCATCTACATGTGTCTTCATCGGATAGATGAGTCTATTAGAGAATGATTGGACTATGAGCCAATTGGGTAAACCATGGTAAGGGCATCTTCGTTATAACTCCTGATAGCACTCCCAAATCTCATACAATGTCTCGCCTTGCTGTTGACAAAAACTAGTTATATCCATGTGAAGTTTAACAGTCTTGCCAGGTAGAAGAACTTATTTAGAAAAGCTTTTGATAAATCGGGTCTAGTGGTGAATGTATTAGGAAAATGTGATTGTAACCAAACCTTGATCTTGTCTCTTAATGAGAATGAAAACAATCTAAGTCGAATTGCATCATTACTAACACCATTCAATTTAATTGTATCACATATTTCTAGAAATATAAACAAATGGGAATTTGGGTCTTCAGTAGCATTACCTCCATATTGAGATTGTTGCACCAATTGTATAAGAGATGGTTTATGACGGGATTTTTATATCAATGCAAGTTTATTTCCAAATTTTACCCTTTGAACTGCAAGTATACAGGTCACTTAGTAGTTTTGGCCAAATATCAGGTCGATCCCACAAGGAGCAATCTCTACAAGTACTAGGTCCTTATTTTCTCTATTATTTAGACTTATATTAAATTTGAGCAGAGAAATAATATTGCTACTTTCTACAATTCTGAGTGAACAAATTGAAAGATACAAATGGAGATTTTTCACTAAAAACTTAAATCTAGGGATATAGATTCCACTTATGGCATAAAGAATACAAATGAATAGATTTACCTTTTGTTATTATTCTTGTTAAACTAGGGATTCATTTCCAATATTACCAAATCTCATTCTCATGGTAAAATGGCCTAGAGCAGTCCAGTTTTCCCTATTTTTATGGTGAAATACTAGTTCTGCTCTGTTTTCCTTCATGAAATGCTAGATAATCCACTTAAGTGTACCTCTATTTTCATGAACATACAACTCAAGCTCTACTCATGTTTTTTTATTGTTACTACCAATTCTCATTGACTAATAACAACTATAAACATGCAATTGATGATCAAACAACAACAAGTAATTATAATTGCACAAATAGACAAGTTAATACAAGATACAACAAGTGTAACACACATTCCATTCATATCATTTAGCCATAAATTTCATATATTCCCTAGATAAAGAAAATTAACTACTCATGGATGATATAACAATGCAAACTCATAACTTCATTAATGAAAAACATCTCAAGTTACAAGTACAAGAAGGTTAAGAAAAGTTTAGCCAAGTTAATGGTAAAGCCCTCCAATTTCTGCTATGTCTTGCACTGAAGGATGATTACAAGATGAAGTCTCCAAGTGCTCTTTCAAGAATTTCTATCTAGAGAGAAACTTGTTACAAGAGGAAAAACTAGTTATGTATGGTCCTCTTTGGTTTCTCCTTGCTTCTCTCATTAAAAGGTGGTAGAAAGGCACTTTTTTCTCCTTCATGATTCCAACAACTCAGATTTTGTAAAGAAAGTCAAAAGAAATGTTGTTTTGACTTGTCAATAACTCATTTTGTCTTCCCTTTTGTTGCAGAAGCATGTGCTACCAAATTCTCTCACTCAAGATAGCTGGAAAGTTGTGTGAAAAGTGAGAAAAACGGCTGTGCCACTTGCAGAAGAGGGAGGCAAATCCGAACCTCAGATCTGAGGGGTAAAAAAGGATCCGAGCTCGGATCATTACTGATCCGAGACCTTTTCCATATAGATCCGAGTTCGGATAGTATGATCTCGAATGCTCTACTCCAGAAGTACAGATGAGGGCTCGGATTGCCATTTGTTCACACGGATCCGAGATCCGCTGGTTAATTTCCAGTTTTTTACTTCTTTCCTTTTTCTTCATTTTGCTCCTGGTATCCTTGTACTTTATCCTCTAGATAATCTTTACATTTTCTTCATCTCGTGCATGAATTTCATATATCAAAATCCTTCATAATTTCACAAAATTAACGTGTTAATCCACTCATTTATCAAGTTTTGAACACTTAAACAATATTTAAGCAATTATCACCAAAAGAGTTCAAATATGGTTTTAATCTTCTCAAAACATACCAAAAGTTCATGCCAAACTTGTACAAAATGTATGTTAAATATTCACTTATCAGTTTAATCTCAAAATCATTAGCATTTGCCGTAAGTCTTACTATACTTGTTTGCAAACCATCACCTCCTAGTAAAGCGAAGTCTCGTAATACTCTTGTATTCACCTCCTCTGCCATATGTTCAATTTGTGGAAATTCAATTGTTATTTTTCCTTCACCTTGAGTCTTTATAGCTTCTTATAGTACTTGCCTTCTTTGTCTCTTTAGAGTCCTTTCAATTTCGGGATCCAATGGAACAGTGACTCTTAGAACTCTCTGTATACCACAAGAAACCACAATCAAAAGATTTACTGAAACTAAAACCAAACAATTAACACTAAGGGGCTGCTTGGTTAAAGGGTTTGGGAATTACAGAATGGAATAAACCCCTTATTTGTTGCTTGACTTAAGCCTATTGGAATGCAATCTTTGGAATCATTTCTAAAAAATCGGACTTCCTTCATTCTCGAGCAAATTGGGAGGTTTTGGACAAAACCCTCAACTGATTCCCTCAGACAATATTTATGACGGGTCTACCCTCTCTTTCTCTCCATCACACGCAGCACCTTCTGGTCTTCTTCTTCATCAGATTTCCTCTCTCTTCTTCTTCATCTCTTATCCAAAATTTCTTCTCCGTTGCCTCTGTAATTTTCTTCTCCGTATGCAAGCTCTTCTCTTCTTTCTTCTTTGTTTTTTCAGACTACTCACTAGCTAGCTAAAAATAAAAAAGAAAAGAAGGGAATCTGACACAATAACACTAACTGGACCAAAATGCTATCCTCTGGACCAATCACCTTCTCACTTTTATTCCACTCATGTTACTTACTGTGTTTTTTTGAATTACGCATTCAATGGAAGCTCAGAAACAAAGGGTCAATCGATTCTTGATATTTTGGTTATTTGATCCGTGAATACTGGTATAGTTTGGGTGGGCTTCTGGTTGCCTTGTACATATTTGTAAAATTGTTTGCCTGAATACCTTTCAGTTTCATAGTTATGGCCATTAAATACAAAACTTGCAAGTTTCCCATAGAGAGCTGGTATCTTATGAGCTATTTCTTTTTTTTTTTTTTAACTTTCACATATTTAATTTATGTTAAATACAAAATACACTAGTATTCCTTTGGCCGCTATTTAACCAGTTTTTCCTATAAAGAACTGGTGTATTTCCCATAAAGAGTTGGCACAAAACATACTACAAAAACTGCTAGTTTCCCATAAAGAACTGGTATCTTATGCGCTATTTCTTTTTTTTTTTTTTACTTTCACATATTTAATTTATAAATATAAAACATACTAGTTTTCCTTTGGCCGCTATTTAACCAATTTTTCCTATAAAGAGTTGGTATGTTTCCCATAAAGAGTTGGTACAAAACATACTATAAAACCTGCCAATTTTCCATAAAGAGCTGGTATGTTATGTGCTATTTAACCAATTTTTCATATTTAAATAAATTTATGAAAATTAAAATAACGTATTTAAAGGTTGCATTTTTATCAAAATAACATATCTAAACAAATCGCCATCCTTTGGGAAGTTAGTTTAAAAACTCTCTTTTTGGGAATTTACTCCATGTTAATGCAGCCACTACATTTATTTTTTGGTATTAATTTTTTAAAATTCGTGATTTTCTTATGTTTTATCAAAAAGTTAATAACTATTGTAGTTACAATTATGGAGATGTTAATTTGTCGTATGTGTAATTCTTTTATTTTATAAAAATTGTTATATCAGGGGTAAATTTGGAATTTAATTGCATTTAATTCCGAAACACTCATCAAACCAAGCATCAGGAATTGGAATGATACTAATTCCAATGTGTGAACCAAGCTAGATATTGGAATAAAAAGTTTAATTCCAAAACCAGAGTCCATGATTCCATTTCCATTTTCGATTCCAATATATGAAACAAGCAACCCCTAAATTACTTTAAACTACTCTAACTATTAAGTCTCAATATATTCACAATGTACACAATGTTTAGACTAATAAAGTTTACTTAACCTTAATATTGCTATGATCCCCGACAACGGCGCCAAAAAACTTAACGAGTTTTATACCTGCGCTCTAATTTTAAATCTAATTCTCTCGTTAACTGCAAGTGTACGAGTAATTTATTGTAGTGCAAAGGAAATAGGGTTGAATCCCACGAGAATCACTCTCAACTACTAAGGTTTTTTGCTCACTCTATTATCTAAACCACTCAAGAATTTTAACTAAATGAAACCACCAAAAAGCTAAAATAATGCAAGGTAGATTAACAACTTGAAGAAAGTCAACTAAAGACAAATGTTCTAGGGTATAGAATCTGCTAAATGTACCTATCTACAGATGAAATAGCCAATTATCACTTATGCTCTTATCTTGCTAAGGATGCATTTCACTCAAGTCATCGGAACTCGCTCTTGCCAATGAACTGAACTTACCTAACACTATAGTTTCCCTTCTCTCATGGTGAAATCTAAAGTGAAGATTTAATCTAGATCTGGAAATGCCAAAAATATCCACCTAAGTATACCACTACTTTTGTGTGCCTATTCCTTAGGTTTCACCTATTCCATTCCATCATTGTCAACTATTCTCATAGTTTAACAACAACTATCATGGCTTGTAAATGGTAATTAAGCATTCACAAGTGTTAAAACAAAAATAAGTGAACTAGCAAGTACAAGATATAGCAATAATCAACTTTATGCAACCATAATCAAGGCACAAATAGCTTCATATATCCCTAGTGATAAGAATATATTTTACCTATTTTTAGTGTGTTTTATTAAATAGTTTTGGTGTGTTTTATTTAATTTTATAGCTAATAAACTAAGTTTCTAGTGAAAATATACATTTTATGGTTTAAGTGGTAAAAATTACATTTTTATGGATTTTTACGGTAAAAACTTCATATTTTGTAGGTTTAATGATTCAATCATCAAATGGAGTACATTAAGGAGATATTTGGATGATTGATGATGGATTAAAGTGATAAAAATAGAATATGAAGTGTGAAAGAATAAATGCAATTAAGGTCAAAAGAATGCAACAAAAAGTCAGCCTTGGCAACGGTTGGTATTTTGGCTATATCTTGAGCT